CTTTCAGAGTTGAGACATAAATTGAAGCCAAGCACAAATACCGAGGCACAAAAACAGTTTTTGGTCTAGTTCATTTCTTATCTAATTTCTTTTCTGGTTATTACTGACCATATACGTACCACATACCAGTTATTGATTATCTTTTTTAAAGTAGACAGCTCATTTTAGTACCCAGTAAATGGCTATTGGTGTATTTGGTGGGGTGTTATTTGATAATTGAGTTGTAAGGAATGATATTGTTAGATAATTATGTTAGGGTTGAGCCAAGTCAGGATGGTGGGCCTGAAGCTGTCATTTTAGCCATATGTAGTCTTATACGTTTATTACAGTCTTCAAGAAGGCATTCGATTCCCATAAGCACGGTATATTTGCTAAATTTTCTAGATGATCTTTTCTAAGGTGTTGATTCATTTACCAAATTTTTGTAAACTACGATTTGTCTAGAGGAAAGTTTTTTTCAGTAATAAACTTAAATTTGTTAAAAACTTTAACTCGTGTAGCATCTGACGTGATTAACATACCTGTATGCCTGAAACTAGAAAAGATTTATGTAATAACAACATAAATAGTATTTACAACAAACGATAGCGAAAATGATACCTGATAGCTACGCCTAACGTTAACAACGGTTTGTCAATAACTAAAATGAGATCTAAGAACACACAAATATGGAAACTGTTGGATCTAAAAAACCAATCAAGTGATGTATAAAAAATGGGAATAACAGTTTCAAGGGTTGAGAGAAGGTAATTATAATACAAAATACAGTGAATGTTATACATGTACGTAAGTTCGTTAGGATTTTACACAAACTGAACTTATACCATACATGCAGTTATAAACTATTGGGAATGAAACTGCTTACTGAATATTCTGAAGTAGTATAAAAAATACACAAAAAACAAGTTAAATGAGCAGAGAATAGTGACAGAAAGTGTTAACAAGCGTAACAAGTGATGTTGTCTCATTTGTGTATAAGCTCTCGTTCTCTGATTTGTTTGGGGTTGTAGTCTTCATTGCTCTTGAGGTTAATCTCAGTTGGATTTGAAATTCACTCTAGAAGGAGTTTATCTCCGAGTCGTTCTGTGTCAGTTTTTAGTTGTCTTGTCCAGATCTTGATATGGACTTGTATGTTTTCATAGGGTTCTATGCTAAGGCTATTTAAAGAACTCACTGTTAGATTACTTGGCTTTTTGTGTGTGGTATAGCACATGTTCAGTCTATTTTGCTGTGCTTTTATTGCAAGATTGGGTATATTGACTTTGTCGTGAAATTGGGTCATCGTTAGCTATTTGTGACCTTTTATACCTACAATCGTTCGATGGGCTATATTGAGCACAACGTTTATTTTAGATCGAATATTATTTTATATGGCTGATTTTATCCTATGTATTACAGTGGTAATAAGAGAAGAAGCCACGAATCTGAGTTACGTGTTGAGACTTATTTTTGTGTCCCTTAGTACTGATCATATCTTTATTAAGGTGGTTCTTACCTTTTAATTGTTGGAGGTTTAGTACGATCTTTGCCATAGCCGCTTGTGTTGGTTCATGAGACTGAGTCTTACTATCCATGGAACACTACAGGGAATGAGGAATCAGTCATTGCTCTCTTACATTACACTATTATTTATCTAACCCTATTTATTCTAATCGCTTAACTAATAATTACAAATGACCTGTATATTAATCCAGGTTAACGTTACACACTAGTTGTCTGTAAATTCATACGCTATAATTCTAAAATATGTTTTTGTCTTAAATGTGGCCATTTTTAATTATCGTCAACTGGGATTGACCTTAAATAAATAACCTTTTAAAATCAGGAAGCAATAGACAGCTGTTCCACCATAGTAACGAACTACACCGACCTATACATCTAAGACCTCACCAAACATCGCACCTAGGAGCTTAGGGTATCACGACGAGTGTATTGACCCTAGACCACTGAGCTGAAATCCAATGGTTAGCATGTTTAAATTTAATCAGTTCATGATATTACACAATCCTCTTCCAATAATGTAGGTTTGTGATTATATTGCAATTGAAATGGTCAAAGTCTTTTAGAAGAATTCTGGAAATCAGTCACTGGTGACAAAGTTCTCCGTCCATGTATATGTGTTTTCACTATGATTATTTCTAGGATAGTGTATTTGATAAGATAATCACAAATGCTTCTTCGGTATTCCTCTCGACAGACGAATCAAACATGATTTAGAAATCCTTATATCTTCGACAAATAAAGAAAAAATGTCATATTTTACTCATTAATCAATTATGATGATTTGAAATCATATATGTAAAGTGTTGTTGGAAGGTATTCTTGTTTTAATAACAACTGTCACCGACAATTAATCAGTCAGTAGGTGAAAAACTAAGTCAAATCCAATTTTATGCTTTTTGGTGTACAAACCAATAATGATATGATCCGTTAAAAAGCTCACAAATACGAGATAATATATTTCGAAATACGGACACAATTAGACAAAAGAATCTTATTAGGCTACTTGAATTGACGTTAAGATCGGCTTGAAGGATTGCAGTTGATACGACAAAGTCTACTGATTGACACTCAAATAAAGTAAATAATGTTAAATTACAACTCTACATGTAGCACAGCTAATAAATCTGAAATCCAAAAGTAACACTTCTGCATATATTTGTTTTTTAAAGGCCCAAGCAAATTTTATAAATAACAGAGAGTTTCAAAAGTTGAGTGAAAAAAATTGTTGACGTCTACTGCACATACAGCGAATACTAGCGCTGAATACCCTTGGAATTCTTTAAAAAATTAGTGATTTCCTATATAAGTATTGTAAGGACTTTTCTAATAGAAACTTGTTGACTGTTTAAACGCACTGTAGAATGGAGTAGTTTACATTTTGAATTTATTAATTTGGTGTTTAGGTGAGTATGAGGTTGTCACATCAAAGTTCATGATACATATTGTAAAAAATATTGTATTTCATTAAAGTACTGAGCCGATATTAGTTTTACCACTGAATCACTGGATAGCTGTTCCATCCCAGTATAGGATTCCTTAGCAGTACATATCTGCAACCCTCCACGCGGAAATTGAACACAAGAACTACGATGTCGCATGCAAACGCTTTACACTCAGACCACTGAGCCGAGAACCAGAACGTGTTAATGTTTAATTTCGACCAATCCACGACACTGCGCGATAATCTTCCATTGTCTTCAATGGGTATCTGCCTCACAACCGGCACGGTGTCCCACACTTGGACGAAATGGTCATCCACTGCTTTCATATTTTCAATTGTGATCTAACTTAGATTCAAGAAATTTATGAAATTCAGCAATCTCTACAATCATATACTTAAATTTTGTATTTGTTACACTTGGCCTCATATAACAGATTTTAAGAAGTGATTTTTCCGTATAAACATTAAAAGTATACAGGATACAAATATTAGAGAAAGTTTCTCTTAAGATATAAAAAACTAACATCTAATCATTATTTTAAATAAATTAATGCTATAACAGATTTTAGTCATAAGTATATTCTAGATAAAACCACCGATATATTCAAATACATTAATGTTAGAGATAATGGATTCTTTCAATATCTGATAAGAACAATCGTATTCTAATATGTACATTGAAAGAAATCAGTACGACTATTTTTGATTAGATTATTTTACTGCACGTTAAGTTTATGAGATAACATACTGAACGTATTAAAATGTTGGCAATGGTTTGTGTTACATTGATTTTTTTTCCGGAATAAATTCCATCATTTCAGATTTTGCATGGATAGATATTGGTTTGATAAAACTAATTAATAATAATAATAATAATATTTGAAGTATTCGATGAACACAAATTCAATTTAGATAAGAAATTCTGTCACAGATATCATAAAGAAACCGTATTAGTCCTACTCAGGTACTAACTAGATAATGTAATTTTTAGGAACCGGAATTAAGAAACAATGTGCTTTTCAAGCTGTATACATATATATAACTTTTGCAAATAATGTAAAAAAAAGTAAACTGTTTACGATAATTCTATAGTTTAAACGTACTGTGCATAGCACAATGTTTGAAGCTTCAGAGTTTGGTACATGCCAAAGTTGTAAATAGTTATCCGTACTGTGCTTCCTAAAGCATTTTTTTCTAATTAAGGCCATTTTATCATGGAACGTACTAAGATGTATTGTTTTAAAGACTAGTGGTTGAAAAAAAAGGATTATTTTTTTAATAGTTGGAATCTGTGGATCATCAATACTCTTACAAAATTAATTATATTATTCTGTATTTTCATGATTTCGGCGTAGGCACCATCTGCTTCGGTCTGGGAACCTGGGCAGTATCATAGCTCACACACAAATCAAGTGAATTCTGTCGTGCATATGTATTTGGTGCCCCTTTGTACCAATATTTATGTGTTCAAATAAATAATTAATTGATAATCATGATTTCATATTAATAGAAACGAGACTAATCATCATCAATTTAACTACAATGAGTTTCGAAATCTCCTAGTGTTGTTGGTTTCCTCAGGGTCGCAGATATGTTACGAACACTGTTGAAATACTTAGGTTTCAAATATGCTTGAATAAATTCAGTTTTAATATAAATAAAAATAATACGAATTCTGAATACTTTTTATATGATGCACAGCTTTTAAGAGTGAAAATGTATTTATTGCAATCACTATTAAAATAGACTGGTAAGTTTAAAAATGAATGAACTTGAACAAAATGTTTATTGCCACCAAAATATGTAAATGAACTGGATTCATAAAACTGACTAAGTAATCACCAAATGAAAATCATTTAAAGCTGCTAAACTTTTTAAGTAACTTAAAGTGTATCATTAGCGTAAGCATACAGCCAAATCGTTTTATAATAACCATTGTATATTTACTGATTGATCAATGATTGGTAGACAATATCAATTTCGGAACAACATATATGAGCGAACAATAGTGTTTTTAGTTAGATACACATCAGGTTTTACTCTAATATAAAATATTATTTACATGCATTTATGCAATTATTAAATCCATCAAGGCAGTTTATGAGTCAGTAATAAAAGTGAGTTAGATTAGAAAAATAAATATGGTAAGTAAAAAGTTATAAATTAATCGTGTAGTGACAAGTTTACTAACTGGGTTATGAACAATAAAGACGTGAATCAATGTTCCATGATATGAAGTAAGGTAATGACTTGAAAAATATATAAGATTACGTAATAAGAATTGTTCAAATAATTGGACACTGAATAGGATATATTAAAAATGGGGGATGGAAAATTTAAACAATCAGAGAATGTGGAAAGTAAGTTTACCTAGTCTTTGGTAATGATGGGATTCTGCTTATTGTCTCAAATTATCTGATATTGATCTTGTTAACGTTTTCTCCGAAGTATTATTTACTTCTCCTAATAGTGTATAAAATTAGACTTTGAAAAATTTCAATATAATTTCAATCGTCTACGAATCAAAGTCTTTAGAGGACGAAACTTCCATTAAATTTTCAGATATTTCTGAATAAATACAAAGATTAACTTACTAAAATGTCGATCAAATTAGTATCGTCACTAAATGTTCACCATTTATTATTTAAATAATGGTAATATATTCTTTAAATGACACATTGCGTTGTGTGCTATTGATTTCGACAAATATAAGTAGTATGTATCATCAATAGAAAGTGAAATGTCTGGCTGCAGAAGGTTGAGAAGATCGAAAAAAGAGAACGAGAACAAAGAATGTTTGGTGTGGAAAAAAAGGACAATGAAGTCTGAACGATTAACCGATCTTTTGCAAATGAAGTATTTATTGTATGGTTCTCAGTTTTACTAAGAGATCCTGTAATTTTGTAATCAAATACATTTGATTGTCTCGCACTTGTGATCTCGTTCACTACAAAAATCACTGTACCACACGAACCTGTTACTATTTTCTCAAATTGAAAGTTAAAACGACGAATAAAATTTATTTTAAACTTGCCAAAGTTGTAAACAAAGTGACTGTTATTCTTTTAAGTATAAATCTGACCAGTAGTACTGAAAGTTATCTAGAGATACACTGAAGGTATACTAATAAATATATGATTTTCACCAATTAAAAATCCACTATTCTTGGCTTAATATAAATAACGGAATAAGTTGTAGAACGAAGAATCATTTAATTTAAAGCCCATTTAGAAATAATGCTAATGGTATGTCGATTACTTAGATTACAAGGGTAACAAATAAAATACCGTTAGTTTTGTCAACTCAATAAGGTTTTTTATGTTTAGTTCTTCGAAGATTCAATCATCGATACATTTATATAATGCATATTTGCATTCAACATAAGAGCTCACAGATATCCTTACTGTGTTTTTTCTTTATCTACCTGATTTGGATGATCAGCAGTAATTGGTTAACATGGACATAACTGTTAATTTTTGCTAGTTAGATTAATCGATACCGTTTTATGCTATAAGACCATCTCTGATACGTTGTGTTTGTAAGTCAGATTTCCATTTTCTATTATTTTCAATTTAGTATTGAGTTCCAGTTAGATATATAGTTTACTCATCTAGATTATGCAATGTGCCAGAAAATCCCTTCTAGTATAACTGCTTTATCTAATCACTATTTGATAAAGTATATCCAATGACATGTTATTCTTCTTATCCGGATTTTTTGGATAAAGTTTTCGTGTAATCTCATCTACACTTTTATTAAGAATTATCTGAAGTGGCAATACTGAGTAATTCACTTTTGCGATGATAATCGATGCCTTAGTGAATTTCGTCATTTTTTCAAGATGTATCTGATTAGTAACTTTAACAAACTATTTACTCGGCATATCATTTCGTTATATAAACCTGTAAATGATTTACTTTGTGTAAAATACTATGACATTGATTATACATATAGCTGATATTCATAAGTATCATTACCAAGGTTTGATTTGATAATTCCGAATAAATTGAGCATTGGGCAGATTGTTATAAATAAATAGTATATTTGTAATATCACAATGAGTAGAAAAATTAGATTTTCTGACGTTTCATGGCTTAGTGTAAGTCACTTCTTCAGAGAATAAATAACCAAATGAAAATTAATCCAAGTTTAAATAGTTTGACGGAATAATAAGAATAATATGACTATTTGTACCATTTAAATTTGGATTAGTTTTATTTTGGTTATTTATTCTCTGAAGAAGTGACTTACACTAAGCCATGAAACGTCAGAAAATCTAATTTTTCTACTCATTGTGATATTACAAATATACTATTTATTTATGATATTCATGAGGCTTACAACACAAATATCAGCTCAAAAATGATAGAGAGAGTTACTTTTAATATCTGAATAACGTTTTTTTCCCGAATAATCAGTTCACGGCACGAGTAACACGTACATTCAGTACATTGTTATTAGTATTTCAACACTTAACATATTCTTTAATTATACCGCATTTTCCAAAATATTCTTCCTGAATTGATTTACTAAATGTAATAAGGTCAATGGAAATTTTCTCTTATTTCTTATAGCTTAACATTCTCCTTCTATACACACACAGAAATAAAACTAATTTACAATTTAGTTTAATTATTCTATTACTTCTTTTCTTTTTCCATTGAACTCAATAGGAAATTAAGTTAATTTGTAAGTGTAAATATGTTGAATAATCTGTAACAATCTAAATGTAATCAGTTAATAAGTATTCTCATGATAATATATTCAGTGTAGTCAACTTGAAAAATTAGGGTTTTATTTTTTTTTTATAAATTAATTTGAAATTCCATTGAATTGTTTCTATGTAAGTTTCTTTTTTTCCTTTGATTTTTCTTTTTTATTCGTTTGCATTTCATTTGAACACAACAACAACAACAAAAATAGTTGACCTTCAATAATAGTCATCTATATGTTAACCATCATTATTATCATTACTATTATTATGTAAATCTCTTGAGAATATTTCTTTGTCCTTGGAGTTTTAATTATTTGCATAGAATTATAAAGGGATAGAATCGGAAAATAGTAATATTAGCATATTTCTTAAATAAACTAAATAATTGATTAGAAATTACAGTAAAATAATTCTGAATGGGTTTAAACTATATAAAATTTGGATTAGAGTGTTAAAACGAAAATTACAAAAGGAAAAAAAATCCGTGAAACTTGTTGAATTAAGTCAGATATATATAATAATATTCTATGAATAAACTGAATGAGTTTGATTAGATGGTCGTTGGAGGTAGTCGACTGGAAACCCTGGACCCGGGTTTCGTGCTGTTTGGCACTCGTCAGCAAGGTGTACCTGTAATCTTGAGGGAGCTGGTGCTCCCTGGCGAACTCGATCCCGTGTCACCCAGCTTCACAATCAGAGATGTTACCACTGAGCTATCCGAGCCGCGAATGACCTCCTGTAGGACTGAAATGTAATGACAATTGATCGATCACTGGGTGGCGATCAATGTCATGCGTGTCTAGTTCTTATTAGTGGAGATCAAACGCTATCTTCATTATACTAGAAAGTTCGTCTATGAGGAAGCCGACTATTGTGTGATTGAAATACACAGTTATTCTGACATTAGGTTATCTGTTTATAGTAAATTAAACTTTCGAATAACATCAAATGATTTACTTATCACTAGTGGTTAGCAACCTCAATTGTTAGTGTTAATATTATTAAAATTAAGATTTTCCCAAAATGGTATCTACAATACAAATCAATATCAAATACTCTCACTTATTACATATTTCATATCCATTACCGGTTGGAATATTGATTTTATTTCTTTTCCAGAAAACAAATACAAATGTAGAATTATAAATATTCTTTTATTCTTCTTAGTTAACAATAGTGAGATTTTGCTTTGTTACTATTGTATATTTAATAGGAAAATGAAAAGTTATTTTTTTCCCTAATCAGCAAACAATTTATTTAATTCATTGCCAAAACATCTATGCTTCATATCAATAAAAAATACTTTATTTTTCTTTGAAAATTGCAGTTCTATTTGGGTACGTCTATGTCTCCCTCTGTGTGTGTGTGTTACATCATGAATTTACTCACCGAAAAATTGTTCCTAACATATTGACAGATTAGTTATCATCCGAATTGTTATCTAATAAAATAAGCTTATCCGTTTCATTTCTCATCTATAACTTTATGTTCATGTCTTTAGAAAGTATACTGTAATCATTCGTTTAATGATCCTTATTATATTAAAAGACTAGTATCTGAACGAAGAATATTCTTTTCGATAAAGTCTCTTTAGGTTCTACAATTATATATCCAAATTAATAATCTGAAAAATGGCCAGGTTAAGAGTAAAGCACATCGTTTAAAGCATGTGAATTTAGGATTGTCAAACAAAATACAATAAAATGGTTAATGTTGATATGATTCATATAGAATGTTAATTTGAATCAGCTTATATGTTAAGTGAAAATGTTAAGATCTATGAACAGAATAAATATGAGTCAGATAAAGTGAGAGAAATAATAGTGCAACTACAAAAATTTTTTTCGGACGTCCCATGTACCTATAAAAATTGTTGCTCTGGTTGTTAGAAGGGGTATCGGCCTCGTGGCTTCCGAAGAAACTCGGCTTTCACCATGAGGCGTCATAGTTCTTCTAAATGAAGACCTTCTAACTCCCAGGATCGAGTTTAAATGGTTTGAATTATTTTTTTCTGGTTAGTGTTTTTTAGCGAGTTAGTTTTCTTAGGGATGTGGTCGCTAACCCTATGCCCAACCCTGCTCCTTTACCCGGGCATGGGACCGGCAGTAACTCTAGAAGAGCTACAGGCGGAGTTAGTGCAATTACAATAAATGTTAAAATTAAAAAAACATTGTAAAATAGCTGCATACGTGACAATTTTTAAGTATCTTTTAAGCGTTAACACTTTTTATTGATTAGTTCACAATACAATTAATAAAGACATGATTAGAAGTAACTGTCACAATGGTCAACATAACTTAATAGTAACAAATGAATACATTTATAAAAAAATGGACCGGTTTTATAAGTTTAGTGATTAGGCGCTCATAAAATGTTTACAGGTTTGAAGAGAAAAATTTTATTTTATTTCCTGTAAAATTCAATGACAGAAAAGGTCTCTATTGGAATTCATGCAAATGATCAAGTATTGTAATTTTAGTAATAAACAAACTCCTGGACAAATTTTCACAGTTTACAAACTGAAAAATTCATTCAACCGATTAAAATACAAATGATTTACACGTTATTTGAGTTTATACATAATACTTGATTTGTCAAGCGAAATGACATTAGTTTAAATCATATTTAATTAAAGAGTCATTTAAGTAGTATAACACAGAATTTAACAGATAATAGTGAGTGAACGGGTAGCTGAGAAGAAATGCGAATTAATCCCGATAACTTGAATATTTTTGAAAATGGACTAATAAGAAATAAAGACTGTGAACAACCAGGTCTAATCTTTGCATTAAATATCAATTATCATCATTTTTTCAAGCATTTCAAAGGAGTTAATTCAATAATGAAAATATTCCACACTAAAATGTGGATAATTTTCTTGATAATTCAATCCCATCCAGTCCAGGAAACAAAAGCAAATACTATTTCAAAAATTATAATTTACTATCGAAAATTTCGTGATCTAAAGGTTAAGCGCTCGCGCGCGAGACCGATAGGTTCTGGGTTCGAATCTTGCGAGGTGGGATTGTGGGTACGCACTACTGAGGAGTTCCATACTGGGACGAAACGGTCATCCAGTACTTTCGGGTCTTCCATGGTGGTATAACTTCAATTAACTCATGAATTTAACTATAAAATTTATAAGTTGCTAGTAATATTAGATGCTTAACTAACACCACTCACTTTTATTCAATACGTGCATGATGTGCCATTTAAATACACTAATTAGTTGTTCATTATGAAATATTTGCTTTTTGTCATTTCAATTCACAGAAATAAATGTTAGTTATGATGAAGGTGAAAGAAATGTAACCGATGCACGATGCTGTGGTATATCTTGTTATAATACACCTGTATGTTTATCTTACTACAGTTTAATGTGTCAATCAAATAAAACGAAAAGCAACACATTGGAAGATAAAATTTGTATGGATGGTGAGTTAGCACATATCACTTGTAAATTAATTCGGACTATGTATGAGAAGGAATTATTAAAATTATATGATAGTTTTGTAAATTATTTTCCTATTCTGATCTTATATCGATGGCTACGAATAAAATGGTGTGACGTATTAAGAAGTCTGACTCTAAATCTGAATCGGTTACCTGAAGACATTGTTTTTTTACTACAGACAAGCAATTTTTACCCAGTACTAAATAGCTTTTTGATAAAATATCTATTATTTGGACATTGTATCTTTTTCTCTCCAATTGTTTGATTTTGACTAGAGAATTAGTTTACGTTAGTAAGCTAACAGTATCGCTTTTTGATACATCCTACTGAGAATCTACTTCAACAAAGTGACTTAATTAGCATTTTCGGAAAAAAAAACGTTTCTGTTTATAATTAAGCTAAAATTATAGCCGTTATATTTTCTGTAACACAGAATGTGGATCCACTTCATATAAGTTTATCGAAATTTTCTAGTAAACGGACCACACTCATTAAGACATTAAATAAGAAAGATTAGTTCAACGAAGAGTTCTCTTTTCGGCGAATTCGTTTTCATTTTGATGAACACGTAAGCCATTAACAACCAATGGATTATTAAACTTTCCTTGTTCAAAAAATTTTTTTAATACCTTTGTTTATCTAACCTCACTGTCACCATGTCTAACAGAAGTTCATTATCAGTATTATTATCAACCTGTAAAAATCAGTAAATATATTTTCGATTGTACGGCTTTGAAAATAAATTCGCCAAAAAGAGAACTCTTCACTGAACCAATCTTTCTTATTTAGTGAAATTTTAACGAATAGTAATAGTCACAGCATTCTATCATTATTATCAAAATTTCTTATGATCAAACACCACATGATTGCAATGCTACATTACACTGGATTCTACTGTCATAAATGGATTATTATTTTGACTGACTTAGTTAATTGCATTGATATCATGATATCTTGAATATGACAAACATTAAAACGTACTACAATTATATATATATATATATATATATATATATATATATATATATATATATATATATATATATATATATATATACTCAATGTTTTAGCAAACATAATTTAGGGTACTTTGACTCTAAAAACAAACGATTTTATTATAATATTTGATTTATGTAATATAAATGACATAAAAGCGACAACTTCATATGCATTTACTTCACGTGAATATCGAATAAAATATACATTTTATGAAACATTTCTTCATAGAAACAATAATATTTGGATAAAGTTTTAGTTATCTTAAAACTAATCAGAACACATAAAACAGTAAATCATGTTTCTGTGTTTCACCATCTCTCGGACCCCAGCCAGGGAGTCGTGAAAGGACAGCAGAAGCCAGCTCTTTGCAGCTTTGTTTCATACCACGACACCATGTCATACACCAACCATCTCTCCGCTCTTTTCAATCAGTCCCAGCGACGGCAAATAATGCACGACGTGAAATTCTCTGGAACGACATTCGTAGAACATTTCCAAGCCACCGAAGTCGGTGTTTCAAGATGGTGACACCAATTGCATTATCATCTCTGTGCCCAAACACACGATGCCGAACCTCTGCATTACTAACATGGTGTTGCCACTGAATGTCCATCATTGAAACTTAAAATGTAGACATAATGAAATTCTAACCAGATTTTTCTTTACTATGATAAAAATGTTTCAATGTGAAATATTGTTTCTGAATTGTGAATTACATGTTACATGGTAATAGTTCATGCATAAGGAAAATATACTTTCATTTGGATTCATTTGAAGTCAGTTTTTTATCTCGATCATCGATCAGAACAATCGACTTTACAGAATAAAATTAGATGATGAATTTTTATGCATGTAGGGTACTGAAAATGTTGATGAGTCATAGTAACGATAGGTTGAATTATAATTATGTGATTAACTACATACTTTTCATATGTAACAGAATAATTTAAATGGTAGATTATGAAAAATGGGAAGTATTAAGTCATTTTAATAAAGATATGAAATGTACATTAACTTAAATTGACTATATAGTTGATCACTTATTGGGAAGATTAATCATGGATTACAAATAAAGAATCACTGAAAATAACGTCATGGATGTTTTTAAGTAAACGCTCAATAACTCAAATTCTAAAATGGGATATCAACAATACCCCAATAAACAGATATATGTTTGATCAAAATAGTTATTTTTAACATCACTAATAAGTATATATTCTTATATTATGTAGACTATACAATAGATAGTGATAATACTTATGAATACAATTGAATATGATCTTAGTTTTAATAAATCAGATTGTAATTAGTTGTTTTATGAATTGGTCAGAATGGTTTACGAAAATAGTGACATAAAAATTTAGTTATTAGGGACTTGTGATCATCATAAATTTCCGAATACAGTCTGTAGAACATCAGGCTATATCTGAAAGAGTGAAATACCTTACTGATTCAAATCCCACATTACTTATGTACATTAAGTGATCCTGAAAGCCAAACATTATTGTCAGGTTAGATGATTTCGGGTACATCTTGTCTGTTGCCCTTTTTAATTCGAGCTTCTCTTGACTAATCTGATCATTTCATATTTTTACAGGTAATACATTTCAAATATCAATAACACCGGAATTCGATTTTCATAATGGCACATTTATGTGTCATTTAAAACAAGCCAATTATTCACGTGGATTTCGATTAAAATTCTCATTAAATTTATCTGAACTTATTAAACGAAAGCTTTCTGACAACTATGTGAATACTCATACGTCACTTTCAGTTGAAAGTCAACACAATTTCGGTACTTCTGAAAAATACAGGCTAAATATCAATGCACTCGATGTTGAAATTTTAGTTGACGAACCCAATAAAAGTGTATTCCATAGTTTCAAAGAGGCTATACTATTGGGTCGAAAGGTGAAAAAATATAATGGTATGATTTATTAGTTATGACGAATACATTTTACTTAACTTTTACTCTACACAGTCTGTAAAAAATGGTAATTTACATTTTTATTGCTCGTATCTCTCAGTTTACTACAGGTAGAGTTCGCCTCTATTTTGGTATTGATGAACACCGTAAATCGAAGCAATAACGATATATATACATTGAACGATTCCCATATTGTGATTTAGAACAACATATATAAGTGAATAATATTGTTTTCAGTTAGATCCTCATCAGGCTTTACTCTGATATACAGTAATATTTATATACATATACGAAATTATTAAATCAATCAAGGCACTTTATGAGTTAATGATAACAGTGGAGTAGATTACATAAATAAACATAATAAATGAGAAGAACAAATTAACAGTGTGATGACAGGTATACTAGATGAGATAAAAATAATAAAGGCTTGAATGAAAAACAGCTCAATGATTAAAAAAATATAGACACTGAAATAACAATCACTAAAAATCATAGGATTACGTAATAAGAATTCCTCAGATTATTGGACAATAAAGCGTACATTCAAAAAAGGTGTAAATGAAAGTAAACGAAGAGAGAAGAGCTTTGTATTGTTTTGAGGTTACCCTTTCCCAACCACGAAGGGAAGTGTTCATTAACTTGTTAGCTGAGATGTTTGGTTGTAGACCCAATACAACTTTCTTCACAGAAGCAGATGAATTCGTAGATAGGCATGGATTGATTCAACAATTTCGGATATGAATATTAATATCACTGTATATTAGAGTGGATGCTGATGAAGATAAAACTACAAATGACATTGTTCGCTCGTATATGTTATTCGAATTTATTTATATAATTTTATCAGTTACCGTAATGAAAAAATTTTGGATTTCCACCAAATGAACTCACTACGTCATTGTACCACTATTGTTTGTTGTTGTGATAGGCTGGAAGGACAATACAGCTTTCGAGTATACAAATTTCAGACCGTTCAAGTTAAGATTATCAATATAAGGTGATCTGTAAGTTATCGTACTATATTTAAAAAAGTGAACTATCAAACAACCAGTCCAAAAAAATAATTGAATATGTATGTATTAATACTTAAAAGAGAAAGTACTTGAACTATGGGGTCAGAGATGGTGAGAGACATGCCAGATGAATTCATATTCTCTTAATGTCATCGAATAGGTAAATGAATATCTCTTAAGCAGAAAACAGAGTTACCAAGATATAGAACTGACTGAAAGGCAGATTTCAAAACAACATACAAGATAGGTCAGCGATATATTCTAAACCATTTGAACCCACTGATACATCAGAAAATTTCACTTTTCTTTAAATTTATGAAACCATTTCATTTAAACTTTGAACTTGCTTTAATTATCCTTCATCTGTTTTTTAATGTAAAAACTTACTTTTCGATATTTTATTATCTCCTTCTCTTATAAGTTTTCAGTTATCGCTTCTTTTGTTTATCTTATTTACCTTCTTGTTCAACTAGGCTAGCTCAGCTTTTATGTCAAATTACTTGATAAAAGATCTAATGAACAGATCGTTCGAAATAAATCATAATTATCTGATTCATTTTGTTTATTATTATAATTTCAAAAATAAATAAACAAACAAAAAATAGTCAAATTTTCTTTGATCTGAACAGATAATCATTACTAGTCTATATAGAGTAAGACAAATAAAATGCGAACTTAATCTTTATATCATATTTCATATAATATAACCTTGTCAACTGTCTATAATCGTTTCCTTATATATTTGTTACAAAGTTAACTATTGTTTATAATTTATCTTTGTTTATCATTGTGACTTAATGAACAGTTACTCATAATAACAAATTCCAAGCTTTTAATAGAAAAGATATGTCTTATTCATTATAGGGATCTGAAAATAGTAAGAATTAAGTTTATTTTCTGATTGTCAATTGGATACAGCTGAATGATCTAGACTTCACAGATAATCTGGCTCTTCTATCGATTGGTTATTTGATTAAAAAGTTTAACAGTACAAATAGTCTTAATCACTTTAGTTGAAAGGATAATACATTTTTTGTAAAGTTGTGATACGTTTCTCAGGATAAAAGTTACACTTAAATGGGATTACTTAAGAGGTACTGTTAATTGTCACAATTAATATTCAGAAGAATAATTCAGAGACTAATCCATGAATTGTACTTGTTATCATAGGCTGGTGGGTGGTTTGAAATATTGTTTTTTTCTGTAGTAAGTTATTGTTAAATTCATTTTATGTAAGATACATGTTTTAATATATTTTCAGCCTATGAATTTTTTGTACATAAACCTCCATCAGCAACTGGGATTAAAAGCATTCAGTCGTCTGTTGAACATGTCCTACATACAGATTCAGCATTTACAACGATACAAAGTAATAAACCACATGCATTTAGTTCTATAAATTGGAAGCAGAAAGGCTGTGATTTAGATATTTTTCAAAATATCAAGGTAACAAAAGCATTGTCTGAGTTCCTTTCGAAAGGTTATCCAGTTGACATTTATCCTGCATCAAATGTCAAAACAAACACACTACGTTCAATGTCAGGTAAAGAAGACAATGTTTATTCGAATATACTGCACAGATTTCGACTAAACGATAAACATGCAACTTTACCAAGAGCAAACATTAAACTGTCAGGTAATATTTATAAATGTTTATATTGGATGTTTTTCTCTTGAATCCAAAATAAACCTTATGTTTAGTCATATGCATATATATTATACGACAGGATGTATTTTCTAATCCAAAATTAAACACAATAAAACATGACTTTATGACACTGTTATTTTGTAGTGAAAGTTTTCATACTATCATGAAAATATTTTGACACATTTTGGAACTTGTGATTTATGTTCTTCCAGTACTGTTTCAAACATATGCATATATCAGAACGGGGATTTTTTCGACACTGTAGAATTTTCACAGTTATAATCACGAGTTGGTCTAAGCTAGACCACTACTGAAAACTTTTAATCACTGGACGGCGGTTTCGTCACAGCATGGGATTCCTTGCTAGTGCGCAACAAAGATCACAGACGCGGGATTCGATCCTGTGGCTTGATATTTGTGTGTTAATATAGTATTAAACACGAGCGAGGTTGAAACTCTTAGGTCCTAGTTTATTTTGAGGAATTATGGATGCACACTTCTGGGGAGTTTCGTGCTAGGAAGAAACAGTCGTCCACTGCTTCCGGATTCCCAATGATGGCCTAGCTTAGATTGACTGGTGATTTCAACTGTGAATATACATAGATATCTTGTTTTATTGGCTGTTGAGCAAAGCAAATATTCGTTTATTATCTCACAAGCAGTTTTGACTCTTTTATTTCAGATAATGGATATTTGATCATGTGGTAAATGAAAAAAGATTTACATCAGTAGATCTTGTTTTCTGTTGACTTTAAAAAGTGATTATAAATGAATACAGACGTAAGTGAATGAATGTGACTGAAACAAATTCCTATTTACTATAAAAATTAGGATTCTAGTCCTTCAAGTAAATAAAATTCCTTAAATAAATAAATTCGAAGCGATTATTATATATGTAAATTCTACCCGAAATACATTTAACTAATTTATACAAGAGTAATTAAATATGATCAAATTCCATAATAGAATACGTGTTTCAGTTGATTATTTGACAAATATAGTCTAAAATGAATATACAAGCTGATTTGTTCATCATTCATTATGGTTCTCCATTCTTTTACCTTATTGATTGGTCAGCTTTATATTATGCACACCTTAAGTGATAATTATTTTGAAATGGGAACTTTAGTAACTAATATATTAAAATCATCCAGACTTAAACGACATATTCTATATTCATTGTCGATCTATATTGTTTTGTTTGTTCTTTTTACTTTTCATCACTGTAGTAAACACGTTTTAAATGTTGTCGGAAACCATTAAAATATTCTTCTTATCTTAGAGACGTGATGGATCTTTTTACCTAATAGTTACTAAACAAAATCTAAATGAAATAATTAAAATGAATATAAATACAGTATATATGGTTGTTAGTCTCCAAATGTTTTGTATAGTATTAAAGCATACAAGAGAAACTCTTATTGTTTCATTTGTGAATTGATTTTTAAAATATCTAGGCAGATTTTGTTTCTGAAAAGTCAATACTTTTTCAAATATTAAATGATCAACAATCCTTTTAGGTTACAAGTTTATTAAATTCTGATCATTTATTCAAGTTGACCGTTATTAAACAAACTGTCCTTTCAAGCACCATTTCAAAAGAATTTTTTTTAAAAAAAAACATTAGACTTTAGAAATAATTCTTCCCTATGTAGTTAGATAGTATACTGAAGCTTACCATAATTAATATGGTTGTGGATAGACATCTAAAGTTATGCAAACTCCTGAAAGATGTTATCTTATCAGATATTAACCATCCCCTTCACTCTTATCTTTCTCCTTGTAAATCTTCTGGTAGAACGAGACGTAATTACATTAGAATTCATGCACGCAAGCAAAATTATAAAAGTTCTATAATGCCTTATCTAGCAAATATACTCTGTGACGAACAGATTGTTAGAGTTAACCTAGTCAATAACCTGCATTCTTAACATGTCTCCAATTTGAAAAGTTGTACAGTTTTTCGGTTTTTTTTCAAAACGTTTTATCCCTTTTTTTGTCTTTGTTACTGTCTTTTTGCGTAAGTAACTTGTTGAAATACCCTGTGCTGAGAATTCTTTATTGTACCAAAATATGATATTGAATAAAGCCATTAATAATAATAAATAAACACTGGAATATCATATTTGATGCTTTTTGTTACTGCGACACTATGTACTTCAAACTTTAGAAAAAATTGTTAATTTAATTAAAACACAGAGTATTTATAATTGTAACTGCTTATCAACTAATAGATTTGTTTGATACATCCAAATACTAAAAAAACATGGTTAAGAACAAGATTTCCGACCATTCTGTAGGACACCTAGTTTAATGTCTTTTATCAATGCGATCCTTCAATATACTACTATTTATGTTGCTTGTGATAAAAAATCTTAAAGAAGATCGACTGTGTACCTTGACATTTTGAAGTTCGAATAGCTTATCTGCAAATACATAGCTGTGATTCTATGTGATGCAGGTTAAGATTGAACAAAAAACATCCAATTTTTTTCTGTTTAACATGTTCTGTACTGATAGCTATCAGCAGAAACGAAACCTAGGTTCAGGTTATTGGAAATATGCTTCAAATCACTAATCATTTCGAAAGGTTTTCTTAACTGAGATCTGAAATACAGAAGTGAAATACAGTTAGCCGATATACTTACTTATTTACGCTTGTTATCCTTCGTTATGGGGCACAGGCCGTCCAGCAGGATTCCCCATCGAACTCTTTCCTGGACATTCCTTTCCAGTTCTTCCCAGTTATTTTATAAAGCAGTTTAAAACCGTGCTAATGTTACGATTTGATAATAGAAAAATAAAAACATATTGAAATACTAAAAAAACATATACATAATGAAAGTTTAACATAAGACTATATTCATTTAAATCAGGGTACATGATCATATCCCAGTACCTCGAATAAAGAGTTCTAACATTAAAGACTTAATTTTCATTCATATTTTACAAGATACAAGTAAAATGCATTTAAAACTCACAACCAATAACATTGTTGTTAATATAAAACGGTTAAAAATGAGCTCATATAAAATACACAGTGTTTTCTATTTGTAAAACCCTAACTCAATACAAAGTTTAGATCATTTTAGTTTTCAGATATTCAGCTTTATCTTTAACGCATCATTTTGATATAGTTTTGTTCTCTGAGATGGATGGTTTGATCGTGGAGCTTTCATTGTTCTTCTGAACGACATCGTCAGCACAAACTTCAAGTAGAAATAAAGTGTTTGAATTGCTCCATATATGGCTCACAGCTTGTCCTGTAGATCTCGATGTTTAAGGTCAACAAGGAGCAATCAAATATAGTATTAAATTGAAGAAGGAAATTGCTATACATTTTATAATATAATGAATTACACTAATGTTTATTTAAAGTCTATTTGTCTATTTGCCCTCTTTTGGAATCCTCAAGGCTGACGATGTCGTTCAAAAGAACTATGAAAGCTCTACGACCAAGCGATCCACCTCAGAGAACAAAACATCAAAATCATCCACCTGAGCTACAAACCTTCTCCAACATCTTAATCCATAGTATTTCAACTCAAAGTAATTAATTGGCTCGTAAAACTGATAAAGTAGATAGATGTTTATCAAATAAATATCATTTAAAAACCCAGTGTCGAGTCACCTAGACTGGTGGACACATTGCAATATGGTCGATAGCATTCGATCTGCACTAAATAAGGACTTGACACGCATGACATTGATCACCACCCAGTGATCAATCAATTGTAAACATCCTACTCGTTAGCATAAATTTTAAAATATTTTGTGTAAAATTATTCAACTTTTTTTCTCTCTTTTTTGGATTCATAACTGTTCGGAAAATATTTTGGTATTTTATACCCTTTTTTCATTTGATCATCAATTTATCATGACTCGGGTACGAAAGAAAGCTGTTAAATTGTTTCTGAAAATAAAATACATTTCACACACACACACAAAAAGAAAGAATTTCATTATTAATCAAAAACTTGAAAATTTTTTTTGAGATATTAGTAAAAACTATCCTGGATAGGGCAATACTTAACTTTTCATCGTTTTCGTCTATTGTGACACAAGCAAGGCTTGATTAAGTGTCCCTTTGATAGGATTCAAAGGATTCGCACTACGGATAGGATTGAAAAAGACGAGCATTTGCTAACTGACACATTAATATCAAATGGCCATCCGCTAAACTTTATTAATAGGCGTAAATATCAGTTAACGCTAAGACCTCTCGTTTATTCGGTTCCAAAGAAAAAAGTTTATATCCATCTACCATATAGAGTTGAATCGAATAGTATAGAGATTGAAAGCAGCCATCGAGAAAACTTATTATGTTGCTAAATTGGTTGTGATTGAAAAGTCTAAGCCCATGATTACAAATAGACCTAAATAGTGCACGAATAATTACGTCACATCCCATTGTATTTACCAATTTACATGTCGGCGTGGACACACATACATAGGGAGGAGTAATTGAACAATGCAATTAAGGATAATTGAACACGTGCTTAGATAGCTTAGAAACCAGTTAGTGTCAAATAGTCTGATCAACGTGGGAGGTAGAAAACTATATTCATCGATAGCGAAACATATAATTGAAACGGGGCACAAAATTGACATTAATACAGTTTTTAAAATGTTGCATATAAATCATCAAGGCGGAATTCACGGTTTATTGAAGCCTTGGCTATTCGCAAATTTAAACCGCCCTTATTTGTACAAAAACAATCCGTCGTAACCTTGAATTTACCCTGGTAATCCTTAAGATATTTCATGGCCTATGATAATGCGACAATTTCTTATTCTTTCTACACGATGTAAAAAAATGTTTCTCTCCCCTTTTTTACCATTTTTACTTGAACTTTCATTTAATTGACCTTTATTAAGTTTCATATAAAAAATGTCCTGAGAAGTATGTGAGACCAGATTGTTTGAAATGTATAGTGCAAATATATCATATTTTTCAGATCTATTCCATCTTCTAATTGCTTTATTGA